TGTATGTTGGTCATACGAACCGAAAGGGAAGAAACCTATTCTTAATTTTCAGTCAGCATACTCCAAGCTTGATAGGCGAGGCATTGTAAATTATTTCTCCCCAGTGTGCTTAATAAGTCTTGTATTCATTCACTTAAGGTTAGCTTTGATGCTCAAATCGCCAGGTTAAAGTCAACAGGATATCCTAGCGCATTACTTATAGCCGTGGCAGAGGATTTATTAAAGAGAATAAAATGGGGTGAACGACCTAAACGCAATACAGAAAAGTAAAGCTCGGCCATTGTTCCATATATACATAACGTTTCGCACGGCCTAAAAAAGAGAGGTAACTGCATTAACATTATTTTTGCTTTTTCAGCACCAAATAAGTTTCTAAGCCTGTGCTGGAAAGTAAATGGATCGGCACACCGGGAAGTTGGTTGTTCGAAAAAGCACCAAAAGAGCTTTGTAAATTGTACTGAAGGAGTCGTATATTCTGTCCCACTCTCACGTGTTTGAATGATCGTTTAAGACAGCATTTTTATTACACCCACCGAGTCGTAGCTGGACACTTGGGAATCCATCGTCGCGATTGTGGCGCTGTATAGCACATTTTGAAAATTGTTCTGTAATAGGTAGGAGTACAGACGCATTGACTAGAGAAATAATGGAAGCGGAAAGGATAGCACAGCTGAAGGACAAGTGTGTAAGTAGTCCTTCTATAGCGCTGTCGACCAAAGAGCTCCAATTTCTATCTAAATGATAGCGATGAGGGAGAGGGACGATTTGTAAAAGTGTTTCGTTTAGATATTTTTTCCGTTTCTTCATTTGTCTTCTCTTTTACTGTTCTTTTGCCTTCTCTTTAGAATTTTCCTTTGTATTTCGTGCTACTTCATCTACCTATCACGTTCTGAAAAGTCAACCCAGACGTTGAAGAGAAAAATGAAGCAGTCGAATACACAAGAGTTGTAAGTTCAGCGCGTGTGCTTGTCTTCCTGAGTGTCTGGTGTGAGATTAATTTTTGCTGCGCTGTCACCGTCAAGTATGGTTCACCAACTCGCCCAAGCTTCCATCCTATCGACTTAGTGTACTTTACGGGGCTACTCAATGTAATTTCTACTTGAACGCACCTAATCGCAAATCTCTCTCCCAGTTTGTCCCAGTTTCCACGGCCTACAAGCTAACAAGCACCAGTTCGTTTTTCCTCAAAGGTGAGCATTCCAGATACTTTAGTTAGGTGCACGGTGTAAGATAATACTCTTCAGGTGAGGACAGCGCGCTCCTGGCCACGTGCCCGATAAAGTTCACTCTTCACACTCTCTCACTATGGTTTCAAGCGGCGCCGGCAGGTGACTCGTCGACCCGTGGGCACGTACAAGACGGCTCGTGCCGCCTTATGTACCACACGCGCAGAGCTCCAGCGAAGTTGTCACACGTGCAGAAAGACCATGGTGTACCGGGGTGTCATGGCAACGAGATAACGTTTTTTCGCTCTCACACAGTTTCGCCGTTTGGCCGCCGGCGACACTGTCAGTCGCGGGCACGGTGGCAGCCGAATGATGCAGTCTTTCGGATGCCCGTCGAACGAACACTATTTGATTCCTCGTGCCGTGAGTTCACCCCGGCGTGTTCTCACCTAAAGAGTGTATCTTACACCGTGGTTAGGTGCAAAGCAGGAACTGTGAAGCCAGACGACCGGATAGGTATATTTAATTGACCGAGCTCAGAATGACCCGTGGCAGTGGAATGGAAGCTTATCTTTCCGCAATCAAACGCAGGCATAATTTTGAATCTATCCGGCTTAGTGAAGGATTGCTACTTGTTGCGAACTAATCACAAATTTTTATTTTGCAGTTTCTATATGGCTACAGCTAGCAGGTGCTGTTTTCATTGAAAGGTGAGGATTTCACATTCTGTTTTCAAACAGCAAGTTTTTGAATGAGGGTCCTAAACAATTAACTTTCTTTTGCAGTAAGTGCCAGATCCTCCAGTTCAGGAATATGTTAAATATAGTTGGAATGGATAAGCCCAGTGTTTTGCTTCTTTATTCATAATTTGACAACAGCAACATTTTTTTTATCACTCAGAAATACACACAAGAAGAGACTGCGTTGCGGAGAAATGCCGCGCTGAACGTGATCTTCCAACTCGTATATAGTTTTATTGGTAGCCGATATAATATACTGGATTTCAATATCCATTATACGCTAAGTACGCTGGAATCGTAAACCCTTATTGGATCCCCATAGACTCATGGGGATCCAGTAAGGGTTTATACGGTATTGGATTCCAATGTTTTCAGCGTATTATGGATATTGGAATCCCATAACAAACCCTTATTGTAATACAATACAATAAATGTAATGTTTTTTTCAATACACTGTCCATATCGTATTGTAATACAATAAAAAGATATTGTTTACCAATATCCATAATACGCTTTTCATATTGGGGTTTTCCAATAGGGATACAACAAAAATGAATTCTAAATCGTAAACATATATAAAAAAAATCCACCTGGCGCACTGTGCACCTCTTGTTTATCTAGAGTTGAAGCGTCGTAGCGCTGTTTGATTTCAGAAGCCTCTCCACAACTGTTTTTGAGAAACGATATAACCTGGTATATGCGCGTAGCTCCACAACTGTTTTTGAGAAACGATATGACGCGGGACATGAGCATAGCTCGAATATCTGTATACTGCGCATATGTGCGCATTATATGAGTATGCTCTACTTTTTGTGGGCATGTATTGTGTAGTGGTACAGTAGTTATCGGTTTGTTTCCACCTAGCTACGAAGTGGCGTGGTTCAACGGAGGAGTCCATCTCTTGGAGCTTTACTTTTTTCCTGTAAAAGGTCGGTAACAATGCCCTTCATACAAAAATGCAGTGTTTAAGTTGAATTTTATACTGTATTGTATCTTTTGATGGCATGAATACTCAAACCTTTAGAAATCCTAAAGCGTCGTTGTGTGTATTACATGTTAGGGCGTATTCACATCCACAGCACAGCGCTAAAACAGCGTTATAGATAAAGAACTGACTTTGCTCCATAGCAGTTGTGTATTAGCGCTCAGCTGTAGGCGACTCTGTCCTTTTCAACGTAAATGAACTACGCAGATCTAATTACTCAGCGGTAACTCAGCACTGATAGTAGCACTGATGCATCGTTGAATGTACTTTACCGCTGCGCTTTATCAGTGAAACGGCCTTTACAGACTTGGCGGTAATGTTTTTTCTGAACAGCGGAATGCCAACGATAGATCCTGTCTGTTTATTGGTCTTGCCTTATTGAACCACAGATAAAGTACTTTTCAACCTATTACCATCGTTTTTCCTCCCCATTTACATCTATAGAAAAACCTCCCAAACCTCGGTAAGCATGGCCGCTCGCATTCTGCACGGAGTGATACAATCGCCTCTTCCGGACTTTGACGTTGGAAAAAACTCTGCTTCTGAACTCATAGAAGGACGCTTGAAGAAACTATTACACAAGGTGATCATTGTGAGTATGCGAGTCCCCTGTTTTATGTGATGATCATGCAAATCTCCAAACTTCGCCTGGAAAGTGTGCGAACAATGAGCTATTCACATAATGGCAACATCTAGCTCCCATGTTACGTAGGCGTAAACTTCACAATAATAAGATCAGCCATTTTAGCTTGTGCCTACGTGACAGTGCAGATAACATGTCCGTTATTTCTAAAACTTATGTAGTGCTTGCGTCCGCGCCTAACAACTCATTGATTTATTGAACGCCCAGTGGCATTTAGCAGTGTTCTGTTATTGCAGTCGAGTTGATAAACTGAGGGCTGAACTCCATGGATCGAATTGGCGGCGAAGAACCTACGAACTTCACCCGAACGCAGGTTCGCTTTGCGCGCTGCGCAACAGCCACGCTTGTGATGTCACGCGCACAGTGAACGACCCTGGGAGAAATTCGTCGCTTCTTTTGCTCAATGAAGTTTAGTCAAAAACTAGAGAAGTAGCGTGACGCGTATAAGGAAAGACAATAAGAAGCTATAATAGGATCAACCTTCATTCCATTTAAACGTTCAGCACTGTATCTAACATCGCTGCTGCGTATATAAGACAAATGTATCGACTCAACCTGAATAACAATTTTACAGCTTGCTTATTCTGGCTTCAATTTTCCGGAAAAAAGATTTTTTTTTTGTTATCGATTTTAGAGCGCAGCTCTTAGGGGCCCGTTCCCGGCTTGAGCGGCGTCGCCGTCGCCGTCGGCGTCGGCGTAACCAAGGTCATCCCAAGGTCACGTGACCCCCAAGGTCACGTGACCCCTCCCAAGGTCATCTCAAGGTCACGTGACCCCACGTGACCCCCTGAAGGTCACGTGACCCCTCGAGGTCACGTGACCCCTTCCAAGGTCATCTCAAGGTCACGTGACCCCAAGATGACCCCACGTGACCCTTTGAAGGTCACGTGACCCCCAAGTCACGTGACCCCTCTGAGGTCACGTGACCCCCGAGGTCACGTGGACGCCTCCCCAAGGTCACGTGACCCCCGAGGTCACGTGACCCCCAAGGTCACGTGACCCCTTCCAAGGTCATCTCAAGGTCACGTGACCCCACGTGACCCCCCGAGGTCACGTGACCCCTCCAGGTCACGTGACCCCAAGGTCACGTGGGGGTCACCTTTGGGGTCACGTGGCCTTGAGGTCACCCCCAGGTCACGCCTCCCCGAGGTCACGTGACCCCCTCCCCGAAGTCACGTGACACCCCCCCCCCCCGGAGCATATTAAAGAATGAGGGGAGGAGGAGGACAAGGGGGAGGGGTCTACCCTCCCCTCAGTACCCTTCACTCCTCCTCCTCAAGAGCTGCGCTCCAATTCGGCGTTACAGGGATTTGTAAACGGCTTTCACTTTTTTTCCCCTTACTATTTTAAAGCGTAGCAATGTGCCACTCAACATATATAAACGGATTTTCTAGCAGCAGCTTCTTTAACAACATGTTTTGCGTTCGTCTATAAGACACCCCTTCCGTTCCTTACTTTTTCTTCAGGTTGACGCCTACCAAAGTTTGACCTCCTCGCAGTTGTTAAAAAAAAATTCGTAAATACGCTGAAGGCTTTTATCAACACGGTGTTAAACCGGGGACCAAGGTGTGTGCGTATGTTGGCAACACCGTTGAAAATGTAGCCGCGGCATTTGGTGTTATGTTTGCGGGCGGGACGCTCGTCATGGCGAAGACGGCCTACGTGGAAAGTGAGTACTCAAAACGCCTTAAATTGAATCGAAGATTCATTTAGGCAGTTCTTTTTTTTGGAAATAGTAAGTCTAATGAGATTTGTTTTATAGGGGAGTTGGTGTATACGATTGAAGACAGCCACTGCACTTTTCTACTAATGGACCTAGAAACCGCGCCACAGGCTGCGAAGTGGAATATACCAACGATCATTAAGGTGCGCAAGTGCTTATCTATTCAATTATTGGAGCATTTTACAGACAATAAAACAATGCCTGTACTTTCCTCGCCAAAATAAGATACTAGAATAAAAATACTTCACCGTCGCCACAAAAAAAAAAAAAATCATGGCATGTGTTTTTGGCTGTTTGAGAAATCACGGTTGTTTTTCACTTGGAAGTGTTTGTGATCGAATTACTTTGAATGCAAGTTTTTTACGAGAGAGTGAAAAGGCGTGCTAACTGTGTAGTAGCGAAAGATCCGATCAAGTCTTTATTTGCAATTGCAGCATCTGACGTGACACTACGGTGTTTGGTAGTAAAAGTCTCAGTATGTTAACACATATAAACAGTACATTAATTTGAAGGTTTAATTCCTTCCTTATTCAGAAGAGAAGAAACTATCTCTATCGCCCTCGGGATTACATATCTATTGCGTTTAGGAATTCGAGTCCACCAGTTTCTTTCACCATGCAACGAGCACAGCATTCTATCAGATCCTTCTGTTTCACTTCGCAGGGATTGTTCGCCGTAGGAGGTGCGCCTGGTTTCATCGACGTTCTCCTTTTCCAAGATCTTCCTGATGCGTCCTTCAAACCCCACGTGCCCACAGAGACCGAGAAAGAAGTTGTGGTCATTCTGTACACGTCAGGGTCAACGGGCCTCCCGAAGGGTGTGGAAATATCGCACAAAGCGTATTGTGCCTCGTTCTACGCATACAGGTACCTGATGATGGAAGGGGAAATATATATCCGTTTTGAAAACAAAAGAATAAAGTTCTGTAAGGTCGGTAGGACGCATTTATTTTATTTTTGTGTACAGGCACGGATGTAAATTATGCTCAGTATGTAATTTGTCAAGTAAATAAAAAAAGAAGGAGTGCCTGCAATGAGCTTCGCATAAGCAGACCTTATATTAAATAATCACCGATGTCGACATGAAGGAGCTGCAACTACTTTTGTGAAAGTGGTTACTGGAGTAATAAAAGCAATAACCTGCCGAATAACAGGATATCAGAAAGCAAGCTTGATCTTGCTTGATAAAATTAAAGCTCAATGTAAGTTATGAACTGTATCCTAAAAATAGTGCAGGAAATAATACTTTTCGGGCCCACATGGGTCAAATTTATTTTAAGCGAAATTACCACTAAAAATCAGTATAAGTAAAAGAAAAGTAGGAACCCGAATCTTCGTGCATCTCTTATTTATATCTTTGTTTCTCTCATTATGTCGCACTTCTGGAGCAACTCATATTAAAAGCCAAGCACATGATATGTTACTTCATACAGAGTTAAAAATTAAATTCTATTGAAAAGGGGATATCTGGTGCATTCTTTCGTCTTTAAAACGTCCTGCATTTATGCGTATCTATTCTTCTGGGTTTCAGGTCTACAGGAATTTGCACCGAAGACGATGTTTTCTTGGACTGGAATCCCTTTACCTATGTGTCGGGTTTCGCGGTAGCCATGTTTTCTATGCTTATAGGTGCAAAGACTGTCATCACAGATCCCTTAATTTCGTACGAAGATTTTCTGAAAACTCTCAAAACCTTTAAGGTGAGAATAGTAAGATGGAACTAGAAATCCCGATCATATCGCAGAATAGTTTATCCTTACCAAGCCGACTACTATACATTCATTAAAGAGTAGCAGACAGTGATTGATTCTTCTTTTACATTCCTCAACAAAATATTTTTATGCGAAAGCACTAACTGTCTCATGGAGCGAAGCCGGCGTTGCTTCTAACTGCCTGTAGCAGCGAAGCGGCAGTTAAATTCCCATTGGGCAAAAGCACAGCAACGCAGATGCATCGTCACGGAAGCCGTGGAGACGGCGGGGTTCGCCGCGCCTGCGCAGTAGGGGAACGTGATATCACCGCCATAACGCAGTGTGCGATAGGAAGACAGGGCGGTCTGCTTGCAGGAATGCGCTGCGTGTAGGAATGCTTTCGCATTCCTACACGTAAGCAGTCTTAAATGTCCTCCTGTAATGTTTTTTTATAACAATCATGTTTATTCCTTTTCTTGACTCAAGGCACCAAGCTATATCTGCGCATCGCAGTGGCAGTTTTCATGGCACTAAATTGAGGAAACCAGGTTGACGGTAATCTGTATTTTTTTTCGTTGTCATAAAATAAAACGCTCCTCATGCGAACATTATTGCGGTCGACATGAGCTATTTGGTGCCAAAAACGAACGCTTATTCGAAGGCTTTCATAAGTATGAACTTTTTCTTAATCTTTATATGAGATATGTATTCAGTCTTCGTCACACTGCGAAAGTTATTCGTGATAGGCCTTACGAAAAATATATATATCAAGCTAGCATACAGTACAAGGCTCTATCCAAATTGCGGGGAAATAATGTGTATAGCAATAGCTTTATTTCATTCAAATCCCCTCTTGGTGGTTTTTGGCGTTGCGATTGTAACTTGCTTCTATAAGTTCCAAACATGCTGGCTTGGTTTCACAGCAACAGCAGAGTAATAAAAAAAGAGACCTTTGCCCCTCTTACGTTCAAATTCAAGGCTGTTTTTTCAGCGACGTTTTGATGGCGAATATTAATTGGTTGCAAGTGGTGTCAGTAAATAAACTAATCAGTTTCAGTACTTTAATTGAAAGTCAGAGCTGTTGCAGAAACTCGAATTTGTTTAATGAAATGCGCTAATGTTTTGCTTCTGGTTTCAAAAATTTCAGGCCAAATTTAATATAAGGCAGAATGTTTCACTCCGTATTCCAGACTATTTCAGAAATACTGGCAACATTTTCACCAGGAGTGTATATGACTACTATAATTCTGATAACCTCGACATTGATTTGACACTATATATTCTCCAGCTTTGAGCGTTTTAGCATTGTTAAAAAGACTAAACCAAATGAGAGGTCAAGTACAAAACTAAATCTAAGACTTTCAATCTTCGCCTTCGATAAGTCTGAAATAAAAATTCTCACTCACAACAATTATGTGTAACAAAAATAACGCATTATTATGAATGAGAATGTTAGAAATGTTTCCCGACATGAAGCCTCTGTCTGGATGCTTACATACATTTTGGCTATTCAACATTTGTACATTCTTCAATCAAAGTGCCTATGTTTCGGCGTGACAATAATACAAATAATTACCTTATTGTGCTTGGAAACAAAAAGGCACCCTATGATATGTTGTCTTTTCCCTTTACAGGTATCTATATTTATTGGCTTAGCTGGCCGGATGAAGGATATTTTTCATAATGCTAGAAAAAACAACGATATCATACCTGGTGTAAAACGAATAATGGCGGGTGGATCGGTAGTAACAAAATCGTTTGCAATGGAAATTCGTGAAATATTCAACGTGGAATCACTCATCAATGTCTACGGCATGACCGAAACGTTTGGTATTGTATGTTGCTCACCTGTTGGTCAAATTACCTTTGACCATAGTGGTGTACCTCTGGCCGGGAGCAAATTCAAGGTATGTCTGAAATGCCTCAACTGGTACATGCTTTCTTCATTTGGTAACACCTAAAAAGTTAATTACCCTTTTATTGTTCACATGCTTATTTAGTGTGATATAGGAACAAACAGTTTATTTAGATGTAGCAAGAAATGATAGGTTTATTTCTTTTATAATCTGCAAAGTCGGTACCGTAATGTTTGTAGAATCTTATAGACGTTCAATACAATATTGTAACACCGATCTTCCCAAAAGATTAAAACATTTCCCGCAATATGTATAGACTGACACGCGGGGTTGACGTCCAGGAGCTGCGGCGGCGCTGCGATCGCGCGGGAGCCGGGTGGTATGGGCAGAAAAGCGCACGTTTCGCATGGGCGTCATAGCATTTCAGCATGCCGCGAAGCTATATTGCCGTTATTTGCACCGAAAAGTACAAACTAAATGTAGCAGCGTGAGTTTCCACAAGTTCCCGGTAGAATCTGAAAGGCGCAGAAGGTAAATAATATCCGTTGATCGAAAAAAAAAAAATGGTCACCTCGCGCGAACGATTGTTTGTGCGGCACGCACTTTGTTGAAGACAAGTGCTGCTTTCATTTCAATCTCCGTCCCGAGGCTTGCTTGTAAGCAGGGAAACGGTCGTCCGATCGAGACCACCCGGATTTTGTTTGCACGGTGTTCGTGCACAAAGCACCGGCCAAGCGCTCGTCGGAGGCTCGCTACGCCCGTGCTAACAAGCAGGAGGGGATCGGCGAGAGGACGGCAGTGTTGTAGGCGTTACCGAAAAAAAGTAATGGAACACTTTCCTCATTACTTGTAAACAAAAGGCACTCGTTACCGAGCTACGTTACCTAAAAATGAAAGGAACGCGTTACCGCTACCGATAAAAAGTAATACTTCTGCGTCACGTTTAAAATTATAATTTAACACGTTTTTACTATTTTGACGATTCAGGATACAGCATAAGCTCATATATCAAGGAACATTATGTTGATGCAGAAACTGAACGTAATTACTTTATCTCTTTTTACGGCTTTACCCAGATACTCATTAGAAAAAACGCAAAGAAAAACGCAGAAAACTCAGCAATTCACATGGCTTGACGCCTAAAAACACGGAAGAAATTGAAGTGTAATTTCCTTGAGACTTGGGAAGTAGTAACGAGTAACGTACTTGAAATAGTAACGTAAGTACGTTACCTGTTACTGTGTCAAAAAAGTAATGAGTAGGTTACTACGTTACTGAAAAAGTAACGGGCTTCTGGTAACGCCGTTACTTCTAACGTGTTACCGCCTAGACTGCACAACGGACAAAGCGTTACCGCTTGTCACGCCTTGTGGTCATGAGGGTAGGAAAAATATCATACCCTGACTCGAAAATACTGAGTGTATTTAATCAATTAATAAATACACTTCGGCAGACGCATTGTCTGCTGATCCCGCCGGCAGTGCGGAAGCCGACTCGAAGAAATCGTAGGCTTGGAGAGTCCTGTACGCCTACACCATATCGGCCGTGAACTGGCTTGGCGAAAAAACAAAACAAACGACGATGTGAGTCGTCCACTTCGGTGGCAGCAACTTCATGTTGAATGGCAAGCAGGCCTTGTTTGAGGAGTAACCGCTCCGCGTGTCGGTCTATACGTAAATAGGAATAAGATATATTATTACATTAAAACTTATCTTGAAGGTACAGTTCAAAAATATCTTCGATGCTGGAGAAGCGTTTAACTTACCATGTTGTTACCGTAGTTTTTAATGCAACCGTCGTATTTTTTTTTGTGTATTATCCTAAAAACGTTGAGTTGACGCTTTTTTTCTGTTTAGCGACTTTTATGAAGATGTTTCTTTAAGTGCAGACTTCTGAACTTTGCCTCAAAATTATACTTCTTCGATTGACTTATGAGAATGTTGAAACTGGCCAACCTTCGTTAGCGCATATAATGTGATCAATGCCCATATGAAAGCTCATCAGTGAAGTTTTAACGCGCCGATTGTAAATATACGTATAAGCGAGAGTTATACGAACGTGCGACTTATGTACAAAAAAAGAGTATTTGTGAGAACTTCTATTTTCGAGGGGTGTGACCCAAGCAACTGTAAAACGTATGTATCGCAAAAAAACAAAACAAAAAAAAACGGTAGTTTAATATGATGATGACTCTAGGACGAGTAACGGTGCGATCTATATCGTAAGTAAATTTCATGCTTCAAACACCTAGATAAAGCTCTAGTGTCATTGAAAATGTTTTTATGGACACGTAAAAAGAGGAACATGCATACATACGTTCCGGGGGATAGACACGGAGTGCAGCCATTCTGTCTACTTTCTTTCCTAGTATGTTGGTTTAAGTCAGGATTGAATGTGCGTCCAGCAAGAAAGATGCCCATAAAAAAGACACACAGCATTATTTGAGAAACACTTGATTATCTATGATTTCTCTATAGCTCAATATAGCTTTCCATATAATACCCTTTCATGTGAAGGCGTTTTACATACTGCGGCGAAAGGTTTTCTCTACCCTTAAAGATTCTGCCGCCTGAGACTTGTGCTAAATTCTCTGGCATCTATAGTAAAAGCCGTTTGTGGTAATAAAGTCTTGGTTTCTAATTTTAATAGACAAGGGTGTTGAACTTTTAGGGGCATATTTATTAAGATTGGGAATTTGTAAAGCGTGAGTTCTCAATAATTTTTCATTCACTTCCGTCACATTTTTTTTTTGCGACAAGATGTAATTTTAGTGCTTCGCAATGCATTTTGAGAGCTACATTCCTGTCTGTCGCCGTTCTTAAGCTCTCGCTCTCGTTTCTGTATAACGCATTTTGTTATATCCTAATCAGTAATACAAATTATAATTTTTCTATTGTATCTTATGGGGTCTGCATTGTAAAATATTTGTTTTATACAAAAAGAAGAATTACCATAAACCGGAGTTCGAGGTCGGCGTGTCGTTCTGCTTAGTTATATAAAATAATTGGAAAACAAATCTGAAGAACATTAATCACTTAAAAATAACCACCAACGGGGTCTGACTAGCAGACCAAGGAACACAACTGCGCATATATGACTAGAAGAGTAATATTCTCGCAGGACTAATGTACCAGTAGGTACTTACTTTCTGAAACTTCCCTAATTGACTTCTTCCAAAACCGACGCACCCCATCGCGGCGAAATACCACGCAGTGAACTCTGGGAACTAGTTGGCCACTGAGTTTCGGTTTCGAGTGAGCTGGTTCATCTCATGCTATCACGCCGCGACCGAACGCGCTGATTGCGTTTTCGATTATCTGACGTTTTACGAATGTACAATACACTCATTCTCGAGCGATACAAAAAGAAGACCGGGGTACTTTACTTGGTTCCCGAAACACCGGATACTGTGCGTGCGTTTGCAAACGTAGTAAGACGTGGCTTAGTCACCTCACCCCACGAGTGCATCTTTGAGCTCAATGTCAGTAATCCCGTCTAGTACTAGTGAACTACAACTGCACTTTGGTCACCTTGAGCATTACACGTATTTTGTTTGCCAAACGTCCGCTTCTTGTTACTTCATTGGGCAAAAAGCAAGCCGCATCTTCACAGGATTATCAAAGTTGAGCCCAACGTTGGCGCATGAACTTTTAAAGAAACGCAATCAATTCGACTTCCCTACTGCACAAAAACTACTATAATGTGTTCCTCGTGTGATCACATACCTCACGCTTAAATTTTATGCTGATAGAAGATTAAGTTTTCGTAAACACTCGATCGGCTTGCTACGACGGAGGCCCTAGCAAACGTCCCCTACTCCTCGGTAAGCCTTTTTGGACGAGCTTTTCCTGACGCCCAATATCTGTGCCTGAACGGTGTGTCTGAAATTATCTCGGCATAGTCAGTCAGGAAGAAAGCAAACACATAACAAATATTATAGCCATAAGCAACCGTCAAATGCGTTTTGAATAATTTCGTTCGTTTGGCGCACCGCATAGGGGTTCATGCCCGTCCGGCGCCCTTCCGGCGAATGGTGCGACATTCTTCACTCAAGTGCTCGAATTTTGCTTTCTTAAAACGGTTTGTATGTGCGAATGTGCCTATGTGTTTGCAGGATAACTTTATGCGCATACGCGATGTTGAATATAAGTGGAATGCAAGCGGGTGGAAACTTCACTTCGTGCAGTCTGCGGGCAGTAGAGATGAGAGATGAGAAGTGTGTTCAAATGGAGCTTTTCAATGGCGCCTCAGAGTTTTAGCTCGCGTACTCAGGCGTATTAAGAAAAACAGTAATCGCAAAAAGTTATATTTCGTCTATGGAAGCACGAAAGAAACTGATCAGCAATACTAATGTAAAAGGCTCGAGCTCGATGTATGCATGCTTATTGTTTGTGCTGAAGCTTCGAGGTCTGGCCATTTAGTTTAGTTTACAGACCACCAATGACGCTCTCGGGACCAGAAAGCATGAGATAACGGCCGTTAATAGTCCACGTTCTGTGTGTGACCTCTTGTCGACGTGTCGATCGAAACCGAAACCATGCCACTTTCCTCCCTGGCCAACTAGTTCCCAGAGTGCAACGCGCGCCGTGTTGCGTGCACGGCTTCATCGAAATAGTCTATTGACATATCCTGTTTCCTCTTGCGTTAAAAAGCCCCTCTGCATTGCGCAACCTTGGATTTATTTACCGTTATCCGACAACTTTTAGGGTGTAAATACTCGTAGAAAGCCTAAACATTACAATCTGACAATTTATTATCCTAAATTGCCACAGATACTTAACAATTTCCGAAGACGGTGGTGCCAGCTGTCACTTGTTAAGTTTGGATATTTGGGCGAGTTGGTAAGAGATCCTTTGAAATCGAGTTTGAGAGAAAAACAGCGGTTGTCCTGTGTATCTCTATTCTTTGTCATCGTCTCAGTAACGTCATTTTTCACTGCATCTTTTACTATGCAGATCTCAATTCTTGAAAAAAAAGAGTAAATGTAGTTTTGAATTTATTCCCAGGTTACAGACCTAGTCAGCGGAGAGTCTCTCGGCCCATATCAAAATGGTGAAATCGAAATTCACACACCATGCATCATGAAAGGCTACTATGGGTGTCCTGAAGCTACCGCTGAAGCTGTGAACTCTGGCGGCTGGTACCGTACAGGTACAGCAGTCGTCTCATTTGTTCTGTTATTAACGAGCACTGCTAGTAATTCAATATCCTATATCAAGCACCAGCGGTTTTATTGTGCCTGTCTAGCTAGCTAGTCGGCATTCTTTTGCGCACTTCATCATATTTCTCTGCCCACAGTTTTTTCGTCGAGCTATGTTAGTCAAGAATTGTGTGCTGTGAAAGTGGTAAACACACCCTTATAATTAAGAAACAAAACCTTAAGACAACCCCCCCCCCCCCAAAAAAAAAAAAAAAATGGGACATGCACACTATCTTTTAAACCAGCACAGCATACAGCTGTCCTTTTTTGTGTGCTCGAGGCTTTCTAGTACAGTGAGTTTCCCTGCCGCCGAATGCGTATACTTTGGATCGAGTTTTTCAAAGAAGAAGATGACTGTTGTGGAATGAAATGACAGCTGTATGCTGCGCTGGTTTGAGACGGTGGTGTGTATGTCCCAGTTTGTTTCCTTGTCTCGAGGTTTTATTTCTTGAATATGATTATTCACCTGCTCGCATACGTTTTGAATCGTATTTTAGACATACCCCCATTCGGTGCTGCAACGATAATTAATAAACCTAGCTGTGTCAAATGTCTACTAATCTGCATGTAGAAATGAATGTAGCCATGAGACTATCACCATGTTCGAATGTACAAAACGTTTAAAAAAGGCAAAATAATGAACGTCTTAAGGAATTCGAAATAAAGAAGTGATTCCTTTGGGAGAATGCCATCGACCGCGGCACACACCAGACAACAAGTTTGAAGCGAGAATCTCAAAATGGATACATCAAATTTGCTCTGAATGCTTTCAAGCACACGCCCGAGCTTGCACATTTCAATCACAAATGTGTTTCTTGTCACCAAAAGATGCCACAATCTGTTTGGAATCCAGACAACTGAATTCTGTCTCTCATTAATCTCTGCCGAAGTTAGGCTGTCTTGGTTCCGTCATACCAAAAATAACAATAAATAAAAACACTCGCCGATAGCTTAGCGCCAACAGAGGCATTATTGTTGCGAACCTGTTTTCATAACCATGTTAACTTTAGATTACCAGCTGAGGCTGACACACACAAAAAAAGTGCGTGTTCCCCTAGAAAATGTACTGTGCCTTCCTTTGCAGTAAAAATACAATAGGCACCAGTGAAAGCTCAGTCTCCCTCCAAATGACGGTAGTAAACGGACCAGATGTCAAAGTTTTAAGGCTTGCCGTTATGTAATTGAAAAGTTGTAAGCCTTTTAGGAACGCAGCTCTTAGCAGTAGCCCTCTTTCGGTTTGAGCGGCGTCGCCGCGGGTGCAACAGCGTGCGATGCATTATGGGAATAATGCAAGCGGATGTAACCGCGCGTTGCAATATGGAAAAATTTCCCCGTTAAAATTAACGGAAAATTTTCCCCGCTAAATCTAGCAGGAAATTTTGCAAACATTTCCCGCTAAATGAAAGGGGAGCAGATCTAGAAGAGGAGGAGGGGAACGAGGAGGGGCATACCTTCCTCTCCCCCACCTCAATATTTCGACATTACAAAAAATTGTAAACGTCCTTCTTTTTTTTTTAATTTTCGATGGAAAAATTCTGTACGACGAAGCCGTCGATTTATATTAGAGCGAATGGCGCCAGCTACCGGGAATGAACTCTATTTCCCGTGGAAATTTAAAAAAAAAATGACATAAACATTTGAAACGTATAGTGGTTATTTTTCAACATTTTGTGTCAGGTCCGAACCGTAGCGCAGATTGGGAGCCCGGCGATGAGTAGTCTACTCTGCAGTAAAAAATTACGCTCGAAATTTTTTTTTCGAGGACGCGCTGTACATTAAGTTTAGTACAAAACTACGATTATCTTCAAAGCGGATTGCAAAAAACTTGTTAATGCCACAAAAAAAAAAAATCCTAAACCACTACGCGGAGGTACTGCTTGCATACGTTCTGCAGGGCCGTGGAGGATGGACGAGCACTAATTTCAGAACTGCAAGGCATCTCTTCGTCGACACTTCTGACCTGCGTTAGAATTTGGTACGCACCGTGATGAGATCGAATCACCCCAAAGTTTGGCCTTAAAACAAAAACGTATGGCCATCACAACTCGTGAAGATGATATTTTGATCTTTAAGGTGATCTCGGCTACTACGACACTGAAGGGCGGATTCATGTCATCGAGAGAATGAAAGAAATTATAAAATGCATGGACAATGTGGTCGCCCCTGCTGAGCTGGAAGACATTTTATTGACCCATAAGTCTGTCGCAGAGGCCACAGTTGTGGGTATTCCGAATCCAAAGTATGGCGAGGCTCCAACAGCTTGTGTCGTTCTTAAAGATTGCTTCAAAAGAAACCTCGAGAGCCTGGCGACAGAATTGAAGGAGCTCATAGCAGGTATATGTCATCTTGACAATATTCACATTTCATTCAATGATGTTTTGTTAGCATGTCCTACCTTTTGTATTTAGAAGTGTAAGTGGCAAGTCTAATGTACAAAATGTGTTTAATAAAAAACACCGCTTATGAGCCACTTTATTTCGAGAAATGTAAATTGAAGCATGAGTCCTTTTCTCGATATATACACTGTCACGCTAAAAACTACAAATACAAGAACAAACGCATTGTACTTAACACGCAGGAAAATAACACTCGTACACAATGCGGGGAATTATATCCAGGACATATTTTCCGTTGATACGATTTTCTTTAAGTGTTAAGCCGTTTATATAAACAAATCTTCATACCTTCCGTGACCAGGTAAGATGCATAGTGCCGTGCTTATGGTTCATATACTAAGGCGTGTTGTATACATCAGAGCAAATGTTTGTTTAAGGCGCGTTCAAACTCTTGCAACCGAGTACGACAGAGAAAGACTTCTTGGGACCGGATGCACTGAGCGGAGCTGGTCCTAAGAGATCGCAAGAGGTTTAAAAACCGGTTTGGTCTCTCTCGGTCGCACTCGGTTGCAAGAGTGTGAACGGGCCTTTAGAGGCAACTTTTTTTAAAATAATTCGATGTTTACAAGGCTTGCACGAGAAACATTGCGACAAATGCAAAGTTTCTATGCATAACCTTGACGATGTTAACTTCTGTTCTGTGGCACTTGGGTAACTTGAACTAACTTTGATTTGAAAGTGAAAATGAAAATTAACATTTAGTCACTGACAGAATTAGAACAGCACGTATGTCCTTTAGTTTTCTCTCGTCCAGTGCGAGCTTTCTAGCCTTGATAACGTCTCAGCGTCTCACGAACCTCGAGTGTGCATGCGAAGCCAAAGCAAGACTAAAAGGAATGAAGGCGTACTAGGGGACGGGCATGCTAAAGAGATTCCCTGGCTTCCTCAACCTCTCAATGGCTACCATCAACTTGCTTCCTGAAATGCTCGAGGCACGCCGGGTTAAATTTTTTCTCTTTCTTTCATGCCTTTTCTCAAAGCCACAAGGCTTCAAGAATATGAATTCATACACTTTAAGGTATTTTACCTGCATATTAAATAATCAGATGCATATTGTGAAGCCCGTGGGAGATTGATTTGCAAATTCTTCGTACTTGTTTAACCTCGGCTTCTTGTTTGCAGGACAAGCAGCAGTCTTCAAGCATCTGTACGGAGGAGTTGTTTTTATGAAATACCTTCCCAAGTTTGATAACGGAAAGGTTAGGAGACAAGAACTCAAGACGAAGGTCGCTCTAGAAAAGGAAATGTTGAAAGAATAGTGGAGCCTGTCAGCATTTCAAACCATACCTAAACTAATGCGAAACGCCCGACGAAGGTGCTTCTGTGTTTTGATTGTAATAAACACGTGTATTTACCTCTAAGCAGAACAGATCATGGCACTGTCATAAAGCACGAACTACCGATTCTATACAGATTTATAAAAATGGTCAAGACAAGTATTTTTAGAGCGCAGCTCTTAGGCGCCAGTTTCCGGCCTGAGTGGCGTCGGCGTCGCCGTCGCCATTACCGCGAGGTCACGTGGCCCCTCAAGGTCACCCAGGGTCATGTGACCCACCAAGGTCACCCCAAGGTCACGTGACCCCCTCCCCGAGGTCACGCGACCCCCCCCTCCCCCCCGAAGTCACATGACCCCCTCCCCCGAGGTCAGGTGACCCCACAGAGCATATTCAAGAATGAGGGGAGGAGGAGGAGAAGGAGGAGGAAAGAGAGGGGTCTACCCTCGCCTTAGTACCCTTCCCTCCTCCTCCTTAAGAGCTGCGCTCCGATTCGGCGTTACAGGGAGTTGTAAACGGCTTTCACTTTTTTTACCTGTCACTTCAAGCTTCCTAAGAAATTACTATTTTACAAATGCCATGCGGAGCACAAAGTTTACAATATCCCAAAACAACCTCTTTTCAAAATGTTAAACGATCATCAAACCGAACTAAAGTAGCGAATAGGGCCAGTGGCTGAACGTTGTACATGATGATAAACAGGTATAAAAGAGCGAACGAAGAAAAGAAAAGCACGACAGGCACTGCGAGTGTCAAATATTCTATTCAGGTGATTGCTGTATTTTAGGTACTCTCATCGAAGCATCAACTGTTTTTTGTCTTCATAAAATGGCTTCCTCAGAAAAGCGAGGAAACGTTTCTTGATTTGTCGAAACTGAACTTAAACGATAGACTCAGCGAAAAAAGAAAAAAAACAAACTGTGAAAACCTTTTGCCATAACATTATTGTACATGCCAGTAAAATAATAAATATAGTGACAGTACTGGGTAAAAGAAATCGTGGTTAACGAAGGACACGCGTCATCATCATCATCGTTTATTTTCCTTGAGGGCCCGTGGGGCATTATACAGGGGGGTGGCAATAGAACAAAGAAACGATAGAAGAGTAGACACGATTATAACACTAAGATAGCTAGGTAGGTTAGATAAGCAGAGGGTAATGGCTTCAACAAATTTTGTAGTATCGTTAATAGGAACGATGTTGTGATGTAGTAAATTCCAATCCTCGATGGCCATTGTAGTGGGGAAGTCTGGTGAAAAAGGGTTGATGAACGAAGTGGACGTAATTTACGTAGGCGATATAGACGAGAGAAAACACGACGGGGAGGTGATAGCCGTAATTCTTTGAGGTGGCTATTGTGTTAAAAAATCGATGGAGGAGAGGAAGGCGGTGAAGGGAAAGTGAATGAAGGTTAGCTGATTGGCGTAATCCTGATTTGCTGGTATAAGGTAAGTAGTTGTTATGAATAAAACGAAGGGCTCTGTTTTGGACGAATTCTAGATTATTTGCGAGGTAAGAGTGCCATGGAGACCATATAGATGAGGCGGATTCTAACTTCGATGTTATAAATGTAGTACACGCTAGGTCGTTTCACGGAGGGTGTAGTAAATTTGACATTACGGTGCAAATATCTGAGAGAACGGTTAGTATCAGAAATAACAGAAGTTATGTGAGTAGCCTATGGATAGGTCAGAGGTGAGATGAAGACCCATTTATAAGATGAGCATGCTATTACTTGACTGTTACTGAGGTAATACGAAAATGGTGTGGCATGCAAACTGCGGGAAAATAATAGGGATCCACATTTATTAAACTTTAACGTCATCTGCGGTTTTTCACACCAATGAATTACGAACTCAAGGACTTCCGGCAGAGCATGATGATCATGGTATGAAAGAATGGTTGGGTAAATGACACAATCGTCGGCGAACAGGCGCAAAGAAGAAGTTATATTAAGCTGGAGATCATTAATACACATTAGGAACATACGGGAGCCTAGTACGGTTCCCTGGGGGACACTTGACGTTACAGTAGAGCCTCAGTGGAGGTGGGAAATTTCATGTTGTTAACGGAGGAATATTGTTTGCGGTTAATCAGGAATTCAGAAATCCACATAACAACAAAGGAGCGAATATTAATTACTTGTTACAGAAAGAATAAACAAAAAGGACGGACAAGGACGGACATCTTTCGACTTTCAACAACATGTGGCGTTTTTATTAGATGTTGGCGTCGAGATCGGTGGACCATGAGGGAAAGGGGAAAGAAAAGGAAAAGTGAAAGAAGGGAGGGAGAGGAGGGAGGGAAAACAGGAAAGGGGGAAAGGGGAGGGAAAGGAAAAGTGAAACAAGGGAGGGAGAGGAGGGGAGAAGGTTGGGGCTGCAGGAGAGCGAGTTAGCCTAGTACGACAAGAAGGGGGGAGGGGGTCCGCATGAGAAACTCAGGAAGTTAGCCCGGTAAGGACTAACAACTTCCTGAGTTTCTCATGCCGACTCCCACCCCGCCCCCCCCCCCCCCCCCCCCCCCGCCCCCTCAACTCGCTCTCCTGCAGCCCCGACCTTCTCCCCTCCTCTTCCTCCCTTGTTTCACTTTTTCTTTCCTTTCCCTTTCCACCTTTCCCTCATTTTATCTTTTCCCTCCCTCCTCTTCCTCCCTCCTTTCACTTTTCGTTTTCTTTCTCCCTTTCCCACATGGTCCACCGATCTCGACACCAACATCTAATTAAAACGCTACATGTTGTAAAAAGTCGAAAGACATGTCCGTCCTTGTCCGTCCTTTTTGTTTATTCTTTCTCTAACAAGTTATCAAAACCAACGCGCTCACGTTCAACTATGAATATTAATATCGCTAAGATTTCTTGAAAGACTTTGGTGTGGGACTTTGTTGAATGTTTTGGAGAAGTCGATGAAAATTCCAAAGTAACATCGATGTGTTGTAGATATGTTGCGAGATTGTTTCTAATGTTGGGGGAGAATTGGGATATTTTGCGCAACGGTCTCCAATATGTTTCTGTTACAACAGTGATTGACACGACAAACACGCTATGTTACGCTACTGTTTCGAACCCCATGCTGCCTGGGGAGCTGTGTACTAAAAGTCAGGATAAGACTCAATGTACAACGTTTTCTGGGTGGCATAATTTAAATGTTGAGCAACTACAGCGCCAAACATGTGTCTTAAGCGATGCGGCATCGCTGTAGTAGAGACGTAAAAATCGCGACTTTTTGTAGTAAACTGTTCCTAATTCGCTCCTGACGGGACATTGATCGTCACGCAAAGCTGCAGCGTTAGGCTACTGTTTCGAATTCCATACTGCCTGGGAAAGTGCCTAATAATAGTCGGAAAAAGGCTGAAGGTACAACGTTCGCTAGGCGGCATAATTTAAATTTTGCGCATCTGCAGCGCGCGACATGTTTCTCATGCAACATGGTTTCAGTGGAGTACAGACTCAAAACCGCAACGTTGCGTAGTAAACTGTCTCCAATCTGTTTCCGACGCAACATTGAAACACAAGAAATGACTGTCAAGTAGTATGCTCCGCGCCCAACAAAGCCTACTCCATGTGCAGTCAAGTTAAGCGAAGAACAAAGCAAAAATCCTGCGACACGGCCCATAGAACGCAGTATGTCCCATGCACAACAGGAGTGGCGTACCACTCCTGTTGCGGGAAATGCTACGTCGGCGAAACGGGCCGAAGTATCAATTACAGAGCCCGCGAGCATGCAGCGTCTCTTAAGAGAACAGCGGCAGGACACCTGGCAGCTCATTAAAGGACATGTCGGTGCAGTATAGGTTTTAACAGCATAACCATTCTTGCCAGTAACAAAAATCCTCATGCACGTGAGATGCTAGAGGCGCTCGCTATCGACGACCACGCGAATGATTGCGTCAGCACCCCGTCAATCACCGTTCATAAAAAAGAAAGAGAATACCTATGAAATGTCACTCCCCAAGCAAGAGCACGAGCTTGTAACGGGTCACTTGAAAAAAAAATTCTTAGGGAATTCTGTGTAAATGCTTTCTAAAATTTGTATAAGTGTAAATATCGGTAGGGATCTTTATTAGTGATATAGGTTTATTTCTGTAATAGGCTTATCATGCTCTACTTAGGACTCTAAAGGAAGGAGCAAACGCGCAACGAAGACGTTTACACTAAAACATCGCTGGTAGTCAGCTGCATGTCCTCTCCTGTCCTTTTTTTTTTTTTTTCGTGTTCAAGTTTAATTCTAAAGTTCAAGCTGATATATATGCTAGTATGTACCAATAACCTCAACTCTTAATCGTTATTCAGCATAATTAAATCTCGCTTTCGATGCAATCCCCTTTGAAGTGAAGGCATCTGCCTCATTTTGGCAGAGGTTTGAATCTACCACGCCATTAAAAGTTTGCAACCCTAGTCTCAAGCAAACATTGCTAATGTCCATTGTAAAAAACAAATTAGTGGTAAGTGTATTTTTTTACTATTTCGCTCGTAATACTTCCGAATTTGGAGTAGAATTCTGTGCAACATCGTAAGTTATAAAGCGTCGATTCGCTGGACTTTTTGTATCGATCAGTTTTTTCTGTCAGCAGGTATCGCCTACTGCTCCGCAAAGCATAATGAACGCTCGCTCTCGCTTTATGAACCGTAGACCCCGTTTCGGTGCAATCCATTTCCTTATGGCCCGTAGCTTAAAAAATGTTTTTTTTTTAATTGTCTTTACAATCTGCAAGGTCAGGAATTTTCCGCTTTCAAAACTCTTAGAAAGTTGTCGACTACGAAGCTTTGGGGTCGTTATATTTAATTAAAAAAGATAAATGCACAGTAAAAAGTGAAAATAAAAAAAATAAAATCACTGTCGAAAAACGGCGTCCTGTACTCAATGGTACCAGGTGTTTCCTAGTACCAAGGTACTAGGAGCACAACTTAACTTGCATGACTCTGAAGTAAGTATATTCAAAGGACCAATGCGACAAGAGTACTTAATTTATGGAAGCTCTATATATCCTGTTTTGTTTACTCTTGCCTAGAAGAGATTAGTTTCTTCGGTATTATCTTCCTGTGAGCATTATCTTTAGACAAAGAAAATAATTTTCCTCTAGCTCATA